ATCCCAGAGGGTGTCATCTTTAAAATCAACGACAAAAGAGAAAAGATTGACTCCATTTTTAAAGCCAAACAATTTTTGAGATGCCAATTGGGAATGGAAGAAGAATCCAAAGATGAAGAATCGAAATCAAGTGACTCCGCTACCTCTGGAACGGATGAGGAATCTGCTGTAGAAACAGGTGCAGGCACAACGAAAGTTACATATGATTTCAGAGACAGAAAACCGATGTAAAGGCAGGACGACTCTGAAAATTGGCTTATGAAGCAAATAACAAGAAGATGCTCAGAAAGTTCTCTCACAACAACTAACATACTAACATTGAAGCCGAGACAAACAAGAACTCTACAAGTATATTGTTGTACTAACACTTTTATTGATAACACTTAGATTAACATGGATATGATCTCCTCCTCTTGGGTTTTTAGTGTAGTGTGGTTATCTATCCTTTATCCTTAGATGTAATCCCCTTCCCTTATATTTTCTTTGTAGTTTTGTAGTCTTTTAAAAAAATAATAAAAATAAAAAGAAGAATCACGTCTAGCATTTGTCAGGCTCCTCAATCAGGTTACACCACACAGGGCTTCAGAAGAAGCTAACTTGTTTATTAGTGTTTCCAGTATTAAAGAACACGTGTACAGATTGTGTCAGGAATGACTGGATCTGGTCAGATCTTTGAAGCTAAGGAAGTCAGCCCTAGTTAGTGCTTGGATGGGAGAACAGCAAGGATGACCCGGGCTGCTACCCAGAGGCAAGCAATGGGACACCACCTCTGCTTGTCTCTTGCCTCAAAACCTACAGGGTCACCATAAATCAGCTCTGGCTGGAGGGCAGTTTCCACCACCAGACCTTCTCTAGCTCTTAGCCAGGAGTCCTCTTTTCCGAGTGAGGGATTAGCCTTGGCAAGAACGTGTAACATTGCACCGGTGAAAGAATGCTTTAGGATGCAGCAATACTAGCATCATTGCTTTCATAGATTTCATGGGAGCTAGCCAGTAGGCACTTGTGTCATGGCATACATCTCTTTTGAATCAGCCATCATATTTTAAAGAGGAGGAATTGGGTTTCCTTGCTTTTAGAAAGGTAAGTCATACATTCTAAATCACATCCTTTTTGCAGCCATAAGGTCTAGTAATTTGTTTGTTTCTTTAAAAAAAGAAAAGAAAAGAACCCTGGAAAATGACGTGGCTTGTAAACCACATTTTTGTGCCTGATATTCCATTCCACGATTTTTCTCTGTTTTTACAAACTCCAATTTGTTCTGCGTATGCACTGCTGGTCTCAGCTGCACGTGAGAGGCGGCAAACTGGGGGAAACCAATGATCTCCTGAACGCCAGGGAACGGTGCCCTCGTTCCGATCATTTCTACCGGTTCCATGCCCCGTCCTGGTAACGTTTCCTGACAGCATTGTGAGGGCCCTATTAGAGAGCAATTCTCCAGGCAGGCAAGGGTTCCCCACATCACAGCCGCTAAAATTTGACATACTGCAGAGGAATCCAGGGAACAAATCAAAGGGCTGTCATAAAAGTATTCCAAATTTCAAAACCATTCCAAAATAACTTTCCCCCCCGCCATTAGGGAACAAATGGAAGCCAGATGTTTGCCTAGCAGAAAATGTGCTGGATAGTATTTCAGTGGAGAATTAAACGAAAATGCACGCTCACGCAGTCCTTTGGCACGAACCCTTAGCCCTCTCCCCCTATGCCTCCGGATAATGAATGAACACATACCCCCACACACATGCACCCTGGCCTCCAACTTCTCCTCCCACAATGCCTTCCTTCTGTCAACTTTCAGATTGTAAGCTTCTTGGGGCAGGGACCTGTCATTGTCATAGCCTTCTTACACTGTAAGCTTCTGGAATGTGAGGGTGAAAAAACAGCTGTGTGCCTCTGGATGACATCCAAATAGCACCCAATTCAGTTCAACAGTTTTATTGCATTACCTGAGAAGCTGTAGCGAAAAATACAATCCCAACCAACAGCCTCCATTCAAATGAGGCAAGTGGTCATGTGCATTTACGGAAGGTGAACTGTAAGGCCAGCGCTACCAGTAGGTCAACTGAAACAGTTAGCTCAGATGGCATTTTAGAAGGGGACAATGGCCTCCCACCCTGCTGATTACTATTGCTGCCTCCTCCCAGAATAACTAATCCTTCTTGCCCTTTCTCCTCCAGCCCTCTTTGAAAACAGCCAGCCACAACGGCCCTATAGATCTCCCCAAAGTCTCATGACGTTCCTTCCTCTCCCAGGAAGTCAGCCATCCTCTGCGTTGCCCGAGTCCCCACAGGAATCTGCAGGCTTGGGGGAGCAATCAGAAGAATGGCTGAACGCTCAGTGCTGGAGGAGCAAGTCATAGAAGAGGCCAGGCACCCCTGTAGGGCAGCAGGAGTCCCCAACCTTTTTCATCCTGGAGGCACCTTTGGGATTCTGACACAGTGTGGTGGGCGCAGCCACAAAATGGCTGTCAGAAAATGGCCGCTGCAGGAGACAAAGCCAGCCACAAAATGGCTGCCGTGTTGTGTTGTGGTGGCAGCTGCTACCAAAGCAACAGTTTTAAAAATCTGCACAGCCAATCAAATCTTCAATGGCCAATGGCCCCACCCACTTTTTAAAAGCACTTGGTGGGCGCCAGAAAAAATATCAGTGGGCAGGGCACCATGGCCCCAATGGGCATAGGGTTGCCAGGTCCTATTCTGCTGGTGGGGGGCAATGCTCCCTCTAAGCTGTGGAGTCCTGAGAGCAGAAATTCTACTTTGTGAGCTATTGGCATTAAAGTTGTGAGCGAGTGATTTGGCTGCTGCACAAATTAGTTTGCTCTGGAGCCATCCTTCCTGAGCTAAGACAAACATGTGTGAGCTGGAGTCTAAAAAACTGTGAGCTAGCTCACACTAACTCAGCTTAGAGGGAATACTGGTGAGGGGGTCGATGGGCCTTTCCGGGAGCTTCTGCTGTGCATTCTTTGCACGGGGCGTGATGACGTCACCTGGAAGTGATGTCATTGCACCACCGAGTGACAGTGCTCTAGTTTTTGGACAAAACTCTATGGTTTGAGCCCGATTTTACCATAGAGTTTTGCCCAAAAACTAGAGCATCGCTGCACAATGTTGGCGGCGCAATGCTGTCTCTTCCGAGGGATGTCATCGCACAGAGGTCATTTCGGGGGGGATCGCGGGGGATCGCAGTTCCCCCGGGTGAGGTATGGGGGGGGGCACATGACGAAGCCTCGCCCCCTGCTTCCGGCCGCCCCGCTCCCAGCCCTCATTCAACCAGGAGGAGGCAGGAGAAAAGGGAGGGTAAGTTGCTTCCTCCCTGCCTCTCCCCACCCCTGCCTGCCTGGGGCCAGGGAGGGCCTTTGCGGGGCTTCCTTGCACTCCTGCCGGCCTTGCAGGTCCACCACCGGGCCCCTCATGGGGCTCAGCAGTGGAGCTGCAAGGCCGGCGGTGGTGGCCGGGACCGTTGGGGGCGAGGTGTGTGGCCTTATGACACACTTCTGGTGATGTCAGGGGGTGTGGCCTTATGACACACTTCCGGTGATGTCAGGGGGTATGGCATATGCTAATGAGTTATTCTAATGAGTTCCCCTAGCTCTTTTTCTACGAAACGACCCCTGTCATCGCACCATATTTTGAGGCATTTGTGGGTGGGGTTTTCCCCCACTGGCCAGCTGGCCGCTGGTGGGGAGGAGCCCACAAAAGCAGGGGAACCCTGCCCAGACCAGGGGAATCTGGCAACCCTACCTGGGCACCAGCTTGGGGACCCCTGCTGTAGGGCATGAGTGGCTGCATTGTTTTTAAAATGTGGTAGAGGACAGAGGAGAATTAGTAGGGCAAGGCAATCAAAAGTGGTAGTGAGGAGGAGGAGAGCTGGAGAAAGAAGTGGTGGTGGTGGAGAGCATGGCCTCAGGCAGCTGTACGTCCTGGGCAGACACCGGTCAGCTGGGCTGTGTGCAGTGTGATGCGCTGTGCGCCGATATCTCACGGACTCTTTTGTCCCCTTCCCATAGGAGAGAGCTTGAGCCCAGCCCGCAGCTCTGCCAAGCGGAAGAAGAAGCAAAGGAGGAACCGGACCACCTTCAACAGCAGCCAGCTCCAGGCCCTGGAGAGGGTTTTCGAGAGGACACACTACCCGGATGCCTTCGTGCGGGAGGAGCTGGCGCGGAGGGTGAGCCTCAGTGAAGCCAGAGTGCAGGTGAGAGGAGTGGGGCAGGGAAGCAACAAGAGTGTGCACACCCCATTGTTTCCCCTCAACAGTCTTCGCTCTGAGTGGTCTAATGTACCAAAGATGGCTCCTATTTCCACAGTGCTTGCTCTGGTAAATTTGGGGATGCCATTTTAAAAAATATATATATTTAATTGTTACTGTTAGTTGCTGGAGATCCAGGCCTGTAGCTGTGGGGCCTACGGGGCCCCTCTCTCCCGGGCCAGTCCCCAATTGAATTACTGTGATTAACTTTGATTTAATTAGCTGAGGGCCCCCCATGCCCCCTCCCCCCCAAATCTCTAGCTACAGGGCTCCAGCACTTGAGGTTTCACACACACACACACACACACACACACATACACACCGGGTCTTTAGACGTTAAATCTCAGACAGGAGGGCAAATGCGCCTCTAGTGTGAAAGCATGTAAATCCATGTGCAAGAACTCTCTCAGGCTCTCTCAGTACAGCTTGATATATTACATGCTTCAGTTGCTGAAGTTATAAGACATCTATTTTCCTACTGAATCTTCAGGCAGGACACTTTTCACTCTGAAACAGGTACGCAAACGGATCCTGTGAGAGGAGAAACGCTTCGGATAATATGTAGTAGTGGGAAGGGGGTGTGAGAACAGGGCTGTTATGAGTACACAAGAATGCCCCTCTAGTCATCTGTGGAATCTCAAAACATGTGGAGCTCTGGCAAGGGTGTGTGTGACAGGCCCTTTTGACCAACTAAGGGAACTCATACAGCCTCTTGTGAGGTTTGTTTTGAACTGGACACCTATCCCACAGTTACAAGAAGTTCTCCTGGTAGCAAGTATAACGGCTTTGGGGTTCACCACTGTGAGGTAACTTTTGTGGTGAGCGAGAGCATGGAGATCACCGAGGCAGGACTTTACACAGAAGCCGGAGCCTTTACACTGGCTACTTGAAGAATAGAGAAGATTTCTTTATTGACAGGTTGTTTTGAAAGAACAGATCAGCCGCACAGGTCTCCAGATAGTCGAAGGAGAAGCCTGGCTGAGGCACATCAATTTAAGCTAGTTGTCGCTTCAGAGTGTGGTTTGGGTCCGCTTTAATGCTCACAGGTACAGGCATTCTCTGACGAGCCACTGGGCCGGATCCTTACACAAACACAGGATTCCACCTACACTAGCCTGCCCTTTTCCAAGAGTTAGACTAAATGATGCAAGGTCTGTTCATCACCAGAGGCAGGCCTCACACCCCTGGGTCTTCTGTCCTCTGCCACGAGTAGAACTAAACCACCCTGCCACGCTACGAGGTAGAGGTTCAAACTGTTGGCCCTTTTCCAGAGGCAGACCAGAAACGATGGCTGCCCTCTCCCTGAGGCAGCCCTCAACTGAGTCCTGCTGTGCTTCCCTCCGATATTCCATCCTCCCTCTGAAAGGTGGCTGGATGCTGGAGCAGCCGTCCCAAAGGCTCAAGTGATTGGGGCAGGACAGCCTCCTATCCATCACAAGATAGGGTTCCCAGACACACACACACCCCCGGTGGAGGCATGGGTCCCCCACTGACAGGCCCCACCTCCCCACCACTGGTCAGCTGGCCAGCAGGGGACGAACGTACCCTGAAAAAGAGGGAGATTCTGATTATGTGCAGCAACATATCTACGTCACTGCTCATGTGACCTGAAGAAGAAGAAGAGGAGATTGGATTTATACCCCGCCCTTCACTACCCAAAGGTGTCTCAGAGCGGCTTACAAACTCCTTTCCCTTCCCCTCCCCACAACAGACACCCTGGGAGGTAGGTGGGGCTGAGAGAGCTCTGACAGAAATGGCTCTTTTTCGAGAACAGCTCTTATCAGAACTATGGCTTGCCCAAGGTCATCCAGCCAGGTGCAGGTGGAGAAGTGGGGAATCAAACCCGGTTCTCCCACATTAGAGTCCGCGCACTTAACCACAACACCAAACTGGCTCTGGAAGTAACATCATCACATTTGGGGTGATGCTCTGGTATTTGGGCAAAAACTCAATTGTAGAAGCCAAATTTACTATGGAGTTTTTGCCCAAATACTAGAGCGTTGCCCCCGATGTCCCGGATGTGATGACATCACTTCCAGATCACATGGACAGTAATGTAGATATATCCCTGTATGTCTGATGGGCCTTCGTGCTGCTCCCGGTAAGTCCCCCTCCCCTGCAGATTTTTAAGAATCTGCCAGGAGGGACCAATGTGTGGCCATCCACAACTTTGGTCTGGCTCCGAGACTCAATGGAGTTCCATACTGGCAACCCTGTCACAGTATGGCACTCCACTGAGTCTCAAAGCCAGGCCAAAGCTGTGGATGGCCACCCTTGAGTCTAGATCTTTCCATTGAGGGTCTCTGAGGTCAGTCTCTTAAGATGGAGTTTAAGGTACAGGAAGCAGGTGGCCATCCTCTATTGACCAGAGCTCTTGGCTCTGTTCTGTCGCCCACCTTTGTTGTGGTTAACTGATGGGGGTAAGCAGGTTTTTCTTCTCTCCAACAGGTCTGGTTTCAAAACCGAAGAGCCAAGTTCCGCCGTAACGAGAGAGCCATGCTAGCCAACAGGTCGGCGTCTCTCCTGAAATCCTACAGCCAGGATGCAGCCATTGAACAGCCCATGGCCCCCCGACCCACCAGCCTGAGCCCGGACTATCTCTCCTGGTCTACCACATCCCCATACAGGTAAGTTCAAACGAGTTCCGTTCATCTCCCAGCTCCTAGATGGTGAGATCTGCTGAGCACAGAAACATTTCCACTCAAGCCCTTGCTTCACAAAAGGCAGCTTCCAAAGAGGTTTGTAAAGCTGGTAAGTCAGAATCATGATAGTGTTCAAGTGAATAAAACCTGATGTCAAGAAAAGGAAAAACTTCCTCAATTATCCTCCCAAGAGGCTTACTTTTTTGGGTAAGGCAAAGAATTTTGCAAGTGTCACGGTCAGAGGTCATTTCGGGGGGGATCGCGGGGGATCGCAGTTCCCCCAATTGAGGTACGGGGGCGGGGCACATGACGAAGCCCTGCCCCCTGCTTCCGGCCGCCCCGCTTCCGGCCCTCATTCAGCCAGGAGGAGGCAGGAGAAGAGGGAGGGTAAGTTGCTTCCTCCCTGCCTCTCCCCACCCCTGCCTGCCTGGGGCCAGGGAGGGCCTTCGCGGGGCTTCCTCGCACTCCTGCTAGCCTTGCAGGTCCACCGCTGGGCCCCTCATGGGGCTCGGCAGTGGAGCTGCAAGGCCGGCGGCGGCCGGGACCGTTGGGGGCAGGGTGTGTGGCCTTATGACACACTTCCAGTGATGTCGGGGGGGTGGCATATGCTAATGAGTTATGCTAATGAGTTCCCCTAGCTCTTTTTCTATGAAACGACCCCTGGTCACGGTCATCCATCTGGACAAACCCACAGTGTGTCAGGTCCTGGAAATTGCAAATCAGGAGAGTGACTAGATAAATGCAATGAGCTTGAAGCAATAGGGACATCAAGCAGGGGTCCCCAACCCTTTTCAGCCTGCGAGCCCCTTTGGAATTCTGACAGGGTGTGGTGGGGCACAGCTACAAAATGGCTGCCGCGAAATGGCTGCCACAAAAGTTGGAACCAGCCATAAAATGGCTGAAGATCCTTGTGTTGGCATGGCTGTTGCTGGCCATTCAGTCGCGGCAGCTGCTGCCAAAGCAACATTCTTAAAAATCTGCACAACCAATCAAATCTCCAGTTGCCATTCAGAAGCCTTTCTGGGCCAAAGTTTCACCTGGCCCCGCCTACTTCCTAAAGGCACTAAAGGCGGGCACCAGGAAAGGTGTTAGAAGGCACCATGGTGCTCGTGGCCACAGTGTTGGGGACTCCTGGCATGAGATGTCCTTTTCAGATTAATCGTCTGCTCTTTTATTGATCCAGCATGGAGTTCCTCTCCTTGTTTCTGATTGTAGAAATTTCTAAAGCTGATTCTTGACTTGGAGCATACCTGCCTGGCCTCAGTCCCTTCCGCCGCCACGGAATCGGGCCCGGGGGGGAATGCTGTCACCCCCGGTGACGCAACCAAGTTGATCACGTTGGGGGCGTGGCTCCGATCGTCAGAGGGAAAACTATGGTTTTCCCTCCGACGATCGGGGCCACGCCCCCAATGTAATCGACGTAGCGCGTCACTTCCGGGACGTGCTGGCGGCGTATGCGGCACATCCACCTACGGCTCCCGGAGCCCGGCGAGGCTCCCCCGCCGCCAAGGTAAATAGACTTGGCAACCCTATCCCGGAGGGGGCGGGGTGTCCCCAACGTGATGATGTCACAGTGGGGACGTCCAGGCTCCAAGCCCCGCCCCCGCAGGGACGGTCTTGCTGGGTGCACGGGGCCCTTTCCCACTGGCTGCCTGCACTTAAACAGTCTCTCTTTAAGTGTACGCAGCCGGAGGCCCGAGCCGGCCCGATCTCTGAGCGAAGATCAGGCATGTGGCCTGCAGTTCCCCCTTTCCCTCCTAGGGTTGCCAGGTCCCCCCAGGGGGGTGGGGAAAACCCCGCTCGATCGGCCGGTTACCCGCCAGCCTGGATCAGGCCACTGGGGGGAACCCCACCCCCAAAATCCTGGCAGCACACAGTTGTGCCCAGCATGATGATGTCGCCCGGAGGTGACATCATCACGCCGGGCATGTTTCATGGAGGACACTCTATGATTCAAGAGTAAACTCTATGGTTTTCCCTTGAATCATAGCAGTCCCGTCCCCAACATGTGTGACGTGATGACATCACTTCCGCGAAGCACACGCACCGAGGATCTCCAGGCCAGCGACCGGGACTCCCCCGCTAAACTGTAAGTGCCACTTGGCAACCCCATTCCCTTCTCTCTCTCAAGAGGGGAAGGAGAGGGGTGGCTGTGGGTATTGGGGCTTGGGGGTGGGGCTTCCCCACCAGCCAACTGGCTGGCGGTGGGTAGAACCCCCCAAAAAGCAAGTGACCCCCACCAAACTGGTGGGTCTAGCAAGCCTAGTCCCTGCCGTACAGTTGCATCTTTTCCCTTCTTGTACCCTGCCAATATCTACATGTGCACTGATAAAGCGACAAAGAAATCTTGATGCAATCATATGTCCTACTGCTTCAAGAGTGCTTTTTGTGCCTTTTTTTAATGGATTCAATTATCCATGTGCATCAGTGCATTGGCTCCCAGTGGAGTACCGAATCAAGTTCAAGGTTATGGCATTAACCTTTGAAGCCCTGTGTGGTCTGGGACCAACATATCTGCAGGACCGACTCTCCCAATGCGTCCCTCGAAGAGCCTTACGCTCGTCACACCAACAGCTGCTGGTGACCCCTGGCCCAAAGGACACCCGCTTAGCCTCGACCAGGGCCAGAACCTTCTCGGCTCTAGCCCCAGCCTAGCGGAACACCCTCCCAAGTGAGAGAAGGGCCCAGCAGGATTTCCTTCAGCTCCGCAGGGCCTGTCAAATAGAGATGTTCCACCAGGCCTTTGGCTGGGGTGGCGGCGGGTGTCCAGTTATATTGGCCTCCCCTGCTTCACCCTGCTCTGTCCTGCTACGCGATCCGATCAGAGATTTACCGGTAGTGATTTTTGCCCCTTACCCAGTATCTGCCATCATGGGTACACACTTCTGTGTAGACCTTACGGGAGCATTGTGCACCTATGCCTGATTGCCATCTGCTCCATTGTGTTCTTTGTTTGTTTTGTATCGATTCATTGGAAGAATGTTTTAACTGCTTTAGTTGCTTTATCCATTCGTTGTGCCCCGCCCGGAGCCCTGCGTTGCGGGGGGAGGGCAGGATAAAAGTCCAATAGATTAATAGATAAAATCCCACACCAAAGGAATCTTGATGCGATCCTGTGTCGCATCACACCAAGATATTTCTTTTTGGCAGTGTTTTATTAGTATAATTTAGGGGTCTCCAACCTGGCGCCCGTGGGCACCATGGCTCCCACTGATCGCTTTCTGGGCCCCTGCCAAGTGTTTTCAGAAAGTGGGTGGGGCCGGGTGCGGCTTCTGCCCAGCAATGCTTCTGACTGGCATCTGGAGATTTAATTAGCTGTGCAGATTTCTGAAAACATTGCTTGTACAGCAGCTGCCACCACAGCACAAGGGTCTTTACTGTGTGATTGAACGGAAGCTGCAGCGGCCATTTTTGTGGCTGGCTTCACCTCATGTGGCAGCCATTTTGTGGCTGTGCCCACCACGCTGTGTCAGAATTCCAACTGTGCCCACAGGCTCAAAAAAGGTTGGGAATCCCTGGCATAACAGAAACTTTACCTACAGCCATCTTAAAGACTAACAACTCTTCTCCTGTGGTTTTCTCTCCTTTGCCTCTCCCCTTGCGCTGGCAACTGTTTTCAGCAGCACAGTGCCTTCCTACAGCTCCAGCGGTGCCACCACGCCTACCCAAGGGGTGAACATGGCCAACAGCATTGCCAGCCTACGCCTCAAAGCCAAAGAGTTCAGCCTCCATCAGAACCAGGTGCCCACCGTGAACTGACCGCAGGGCCTCTTGCGTGCCCCAGTCGGGATCTTCTCCTGCCCCAGACACCAGCATCAATTCCAGGTTGCTGAGCAACCGAGACCTCAGTGATTCACGCACCAGCAGTGCCAAATCCCGTCGTGCAGTCTCTGCTCCCTTGGTGCCCCTGCTGAAGACAGAGCGAGCGTTGACAGAATTCTGCGGACCTCCATTGGCGAGGAGGAGGCATTTCCCACCTTGTCAAACTCAAAACAACAACACCTTTTTTCAGTGCAGAGGACCTGTGAATCTTTCAAGATGAAAGAGATCTGCCCCATTTGCCTGAGCAAAAAAGAACCACAGGACAGATCCACAACCCGCTCTTGGATTTGATTCGAAGTGCCTGGACACCCAAAGAACTTCCGAGCACTTGGGAGCAGAGGCTGGGAACGTAAACCCATTGCCCCCGTGATTAACTCGTTCCCCTTCCCAACCCCAGTCTGTCCCTTCAGTGTGGCTGACTTTAGTTCTACAAAACAGTGGCGCGATCCATGCGAATAAACAGATGTATGAATTGATGTTGATAGACTGACTGCGGTGCCTGAAAAAGAAAAGACACCCCCCCAAAAAAAAGGGGAAATCCAGCTCTCCAAACCCTGCTGTACATATTCCTTAGCCCATGCCTGCATTGTGCAATTGTGCATTTAGAACTAGCTTGCAACACAACGTTGCTCCAAAACAGGTGTCACACCTCTTCATTCCCCTACCTGCCCTTCATGTAAATATCCCAAGTAATCAAAAGATCATGGGGGGGGGGGAGGTGTCACTCGAGAGGATTCTAGGCTGTATGATAACTTGCTAGCCATGTTCTCATATTCTGGCGAAACCTCCCCTTACCTCTACTGAAGGGACCCAAGATGAAAATGGCCCTCCCAGCCCCAAGCAGCTGAGAACCAGGTATGCTGTTGGTCCATTGCTTTGATCCTTGTGAGGTTTGTGGAGGTGACATCCTTACGCACAAAGGTCTGTCCTCCTTATCCTCTTATGGATCCACCTGTCGGCAACATACCTACCATTCCACTCTAATCTTGGAGGAAAGGAGCCGAGTATGAGTTGCGGTTCTTGCTATGCTGAATTGCCTAATTTTAAGGAGTCCTGCTCTCTCTTTTCTCAGCCCCACTCCACTCATTTCCACAGTTAATAGCAGCTGCATATGTGGAGGCAATCCATGTACGAACCTCCATTGTGCACCCCTCTGGAACTCACAGTTGCGGCGGAAAGGAGAGCAGGTTTAGAAGAAGGGGCCGAGTTCAAAACGTTTTGAGATGCCCCGGGCAAAGTCCAGGGGTGACGTGAAAGTGTTGTGATCAGGGAGTTGTTAGACTGATCGCAAAGGATCCCCCAAGAGCACCTGTATCTCTGGCCAATACTCTGGTTCTACATATCATAAACAAATACAAATAATTGGGCTTATATTTGCATGTCGAAATCACAAATTCCCCTTTCCCCCCTTCTTCCCTGCAGCGCTGTGGTGCCTTTGTGCACCCCTGCAGGGTTCTCGAGTCTTTCTCAAACCAGCTTTGCTCTGAAGTTTGCCCACTGGAAGAACAATTCCTTTGCCTGTAGAAGGTCCCAAGTCCAGTTCCCAGAATCTCTTGAAAGGGTCTCAGGAACTGTTAGGAAAGCCTTTTCTCTGCCCGATGTCTTGGAAATGGATGGGCCAAAAGGTCCGTATGGGGAAGTTTCGTAAGAAGGAGAGCTGATCTGTGTAGCAAGAGTCTGATCCAGCAGGGCTCTTCTGATGTTCTGATCAGGGAAAGGCCTCGGCCTCTCTGCCCTGTTGCTGGCCCTCCAGAGGAACTGGCTGAGGCCGCTGTGTGAGGCAGGATGCTGGACTAGATGGACCCTCAAGGGTCTGATCCAGCAGGGCTCTTCAGAAGTTCTTGCTGCCTTGTCTCCCACGGAGGCCCCTGTCCTCCCCAGGCTCCATCCTTAAATCTCCAGGAGTTTCCCAATCTGGATCTCACCACCTTATCCCCTTTCCCCTGCCAGTGGCCACCTGGCAACCCTAAGTTGAACCCCCTACTCAGTGCAGAATCAGACTAGAGCATCCATGAGAAGAGTTCGTCCAGCCGCTGCTGGAGACCGCTGGTGAGGGGAAGCTCACCGCCTCCCTGGGCAGCCGCTGCCGCTGCTGAACTACTCCTACTTTTCCCCTGATCCCATGACTGCCGGTCCTCTCCTCTGCTGCCCACAGGAACAGCTCCCTGCCCTCCCTTCAGATCCTTCAAGAGAGTCATCCTGTCCCCCCCCCCTCAGCCTCCTAGGTTGCCAACCCCCCCGGTTTGCCAGGGGTCCCCCGTTTTTGGGGGGGTTCTACCCATCGCCGGCCAGATGGCCAGCGGGGGAAGCCCCACCCTCAACACCCACAGCCACCCCTCTCTCTAGGGTTGCCAAGTCGCTCGCACTCACCGGCGGGGGAGCGTAGCTTGCGTCCGGGAACTGCCAATGGACGCGCGCACGCCGCCAGAACGTCACAGGAAGCGACGCATGACGTAGAGCACGTTGGGGGCGTGGCCCCAATCGTTGGAGGGAAAACCATAGAGTTTTCCCTCCAACGATTGGGGCCATGCCCCCAACGCGATCTACGTGGTTGCGTCACTTCCTGTGACGCACCCACGCTGCGCTTCAAGGGGCGGGGTTCCCCCCGGGGTCCGATTCTGCGGCGGTGGAAATCGGGCTTCCAAAGCGGGGGTTTACCCACCCCCCGCCCCCACTTGGCAGCCCTACCTCTCTCTCCCTTTAAGTGTGTGGAACCCGTGTTTCCTCCCAAGCCCGATCTCCGATTACGATAAGGCTTCAAGGGAAATGCAAGCTTCGTGCACTTAAAAGGGAAACGCGGCTGCTCTTAAAGGGGAAATGCCGGCTCCTGCACTTAAAAGGGAAACGCCGGCTCCTTTAAGTGCAGGGAACTGCCGTTTCTGGAGATCCGGCAGGTGGGCGGGGGGCGGACGTCCCCAATGTGATGTCATCACGTCGGGGATGCCCCGCCCCCTCCAGGAACGCCCCCAAAGTCCCTGGCTGGGGGTGGAAGATGGACTTGGCAACCCTACAGCCTCCTCTTCTCCAGACCGAACATCCCCAAGTCCCTCAGCCTTTCCTTGTAGGGCTTGAACTATTTAAGTCCTTCCCATCACCATGATATCACAGCAGACCCTCCTAGCCTCCAACAAGCATTGACAGTCTGGAGGGAGTCTGCAAAAAGTTCAGCAGAGTTTGAGGTGGGATATAACTGGTTCAACTATTGTCCCCTTCCTCCTGGGGAATCCTGGGAGATGTAGTTGTGTGAGAAAGGGTACGCCTGCTCAGAGAGCCAGGAAGGCACAGGATTCAAGCATTGCACTAAGATCAGGAGTCATTTCCTGCGGGAGTGCACAGGAGCGGAGCTCCGGCAGTAAGGAGCCCAGGGGGCGGGCACATGCAACAAGCCCCACCCCCTGCTCCCAGCAGCCCTCAGTCAGGCCACAAGGAGCAAGAAGCAGCCAGGTAGGTTGCAGAGCCTCCCCCCTCCGGCCCGCCTTCAGGTACAAGCTCTCCCTCCTCTGTGAGGGCAGATCTGCCTGTTCCTCCCCATAGCTAGCAATCCAAAACAGTCCAGTGGAGCCTGAGCGATGGGTGCTGCCTTCTGACACACTTCCGGTGAGGTCAGGGGGTGTGGCATATGCAAATAAGTTATGCCAATGAGTTATGCTAATGAGCTCCTGCACCTCTTTTTCTACGAAATGACCCCTGACTAGGATAGTGTTGCTAGCCTCGAGTCAATGGCTGGAGACCTCCCACGATTACAACTTATCTCAGTTCGCCTGGAGGAGATGGCCACTTTGGAAATTAGACTCTATGGTATTCTGCCCCAAACCCTGTCTCCCTCAGGCTCCACCCTCAAAATCTCCGGGTATTTCCCAGCCTGGAGCTGGCAACCCTACACTAGGATGGGAGACTTGTATTCAAATCCTTACTCAGACATAAATCTCATGGGGTGACCTGAGGCCAGTCACTCATCCCCCCCAACCTACCTCGCAGGGTTGTTGTGGAGATTAGAATGGAAGAGAGGGGAGAGCCGCATATCCTACCCTGAGCTCCTTGGAGGGAGTTAAAAATGTCAGGTGGAATTCTTCAGTGCTCTGGCTGAACTTCCACTCCTGAGATTCTTTGCCTGGAAAGCCATGAAGGTGCGCGGCACAGACCAGACCCCAGAGGTTTATTTAGAAGAGCAGTCTGGGAGAGGAACCTTTAGAGACTTCCTTCTCTGTGCAAGTGAACAGCATCATTCCGAAGGGGTGGACAGAGATGCATGCCAGCAGCCCTCACCGATCGCCAAAGGAGATGGTGGACAATGGATTTTAAAAGCGACTCACTGCCAAAAAAATAAAAATAAAAATGCTCTCGGTTTCAAAAAGGTTGCCATAGGTGGAGGCAAGTGATGGCCACCCGTATCCGATGCTATTGTGTTGTTTTTTTAAAAAATATATATATCTATGCCTACAAATAAATATCTAATAGTTTGTACATCCTTTGTTCAAATAGCCTTAGTGCTTATGGGGGTTGTCTGGGAGGCGGAGCTTCTGCAACGAAGGGTGGGGCACAGGGTGGGGCTTCGGCGGGCGGGGCAAAGCCAGCATCTGCAGCACCCTTCCTTGACTGCGGAGGTTAGGGGAGGCCGCCTCTGCACAGTGTTCCCCTGTCTGGCTTTCACTGGGATAATACCAATAACCTTCTCCTAAACTGAACACAGCCTGCTTGCTTCCAGTGCCCATTTCCTGCTCAGACATGCATCTCATACTTTCAAATGGCTGAGCGGGTGACGCTTAAAATCAGCCTTTTCTCCAGCATAGTTGCAGTGTGAGAGCTGCAGGTGTTCATTATTTGCTGGGGTTGGTGGGAACTGTCATTTTTTTCCCCTCGACCTTTCTATTCTGTTGGGGAGACCACTAGAACCTCAAGGTCTATCAGCCCGTAGGAAGACATGCTATGGAAGATGGAGAAGAGCAATTAATGAGGGGGAACTAAGCCCCAGCCAAGGTTTATACTGCATTTAAACTGTGTTTGTGGCTTGGAGAGGGGAGAAATGGGCAGAGAAGGGAGTTCGGTCCTTCTGTGTGTAATTATTGTGCACATACATGTCTTTGGTGAGCATCCCTGCAATGCCAGCCTCCAAGTGGAGTCTTGAGATGTCCTGGAATTACAATTAATCTCCAGATACTACATGTCCTTTGGAGGGTTGCCTTTATGTCATCATCATACCCAGCTTAGGTCCCTCCCCTTCCCAAGTCCCACCCTCCCCAGACTCCACCCCACAAATCTTAATGTATTTTCCAATCTGGAGTTGGTGACCCTAGCATCCCATCAAAAATTCTCACGTTCTCATTGAACGTTTGAGGGGATGCCCGTAGAAATGCTAGCAATTTCAGGCAAACACAGGCATGGTTGAAAGCACTATTCAGCTCCACCTTTCAATAATATTTAGCTTTCTTCATGTATATGTGCATGCATTTACACCACTGCACTGGAGTAGTTTCTGAGGGATCGGTTAATAAGTCAGCCTTGTGGGTAGAGCCAGTCGAGAGTATGAAGATAATAACCAGCCAGAAGAGCTGTTTGCATGGTTTGAAAAC